TGTGTGTGTGTGTGTGTGTGTGTGTGTGTGTGTGTGTGTGTGTTTTCGTAGATTTTCACGGGTGTGGGTGTGCTGGTCTTGATGTCTTTGGGTCTTTTCCCTTGTAAGATTGAGATTGTCTTGGCAACTTTTCAGCGATGTCTCACTCGCCATCTTCAGGCTGGGTTTTGGCCAGAAAAGCCCAAAAGCCCTTTAAGCCCAAAACCCAGCCTGAAAATGGTGAGTGAGACCTCACTGAAACATGGCCAAATCTCCATCTTACACGGGAAAAGATCCGAATACAACAAGACCAGCATATATATATTAAATAAAAGAAAGAAATTATTCTTACCTTACATATGAATATGAAATGAAATTTACATATTTTGAACCTGTAAATCCTAATATAACTGGGATCAATGTCCTCATTACGCAGCTTCATCTCTCCCCTTAATTACAGTGATTTCTAGGGTGCACACAAGAAACTCTATAGTTTAATTGGACAAATTCAATCTCTCTATTTTAGCAAAACATGTACAATTTCATTTGCATTAATAGTCCTGACCTATCTCGGCTATTCTCATAGTTTAAACAACAATTCTTCTGGCGTGTTTTAATATTTGATACTATTATATTAATCAACTATTGATGAAATTATCAAAATAAAGTCATCTCAAGGTTTCTTATAGGTAGAAGACAGCATATTTCCAAACAGTTTACCGTATTTTTCAGAGTATAAGACACTCTGGAATATAAGACGCACATTACTTTTTGGGGAGGAAAACAAGAAAAAAAATCTGCCTCTGCCTACCAGCATCCATCGGTATTCATCTGGGATGAATCACAGCCTGATTCAGCACGAGCAGCTGATTGGCAGTTGGATCAGCCTCTCGGAATATTGCCAATCAGCTGTTCCAGGCTGCAGAGATCACCACAGCCATTGCCACATCCGTGCATCATGTTCTTGGCCTCCACACATCACATTTTTGGCCTCCATGTGTCACTTTTTTGGCCTTCACGTGTCATGTTTTTGGCCACCGCATGTTGCTTTTTGGCTTCCGCACACCCTGTTTTTGTCCTCCATGCATCACATTTTCGGATGGTTCCAAGAAGTGGGGAGCGATGGTGGCGGCAATCCCCACCAACTGGAACCAGGTGAACATGCAACATGAGGAGGCCAAAAACAGGATGTGTGGAGGCCGAAAACGTGATGCGCGGAGGCTGAAAACGGCCAAAGGGTGGGAGCCAGCGGAAGGGTGGGGCCTCAGCAACATTCACTGTATAAGGCACACAGACATTTCTACCCACTTTTTTTGTCTTGTACTCTGAAAAATACGTAATTTAATGTTGTTTTCCAAAAAAGCTGTGTCTTTTGAGAGATTCCGATATCAGATGAAAAAGATAGAGAATGTCTACATATAAAATGCATCCAATGGAGACAGGTGCTTAGGACCTTCTAATCCTGAGAATCAGGACAGACAAAACTTTTCACTGCAAGAACTTCCTCCTGTATTTTTGCTGAATGGAAATAAAACATATTTTATACATTTATTCATAATTTATTCATAATTAATTCCTAGTTTTGCATAAAGAATAATTATTTGTTGGTCAAAATGCCATAAAGTCAAACATCTATTTTTAAAAAATATAGACTTATTCTCAATTTATATTGCTTTAAGTGATTAATAAGTTCCTCTGTGAGGGACATAGGCAGTTGATAAATAAATTATGTAAATATTTTCTAGCTAAATTTAAAACCTAATAGCTATCACCAATTAATCTGATAACTAGAAATCACTTACCACTTTCAAAGCAGGCATCAAATACAAGATGACCCTTTTTTGCCTGTCCATAGTAACCTGGTGGAAAAGCTGTATATTTGCTTAAGTTTCCTGTAATGATTTCATCTATTTCTATGTCGCTACCTGTTGGAATAACAATAAGGAAGCCAATTAGATATAATTAAAAACTCAACACAAAATAAAATGGAGTGGTTCTCTTTATTAAGAGTTTGCAAAAATGGCAAAATCTAATGCTTATTTGCGTACTTCAGTGGGGGACAACTATGGCCCCTAAGACCTGTGGACTTCAACTCCCAGAATTTCTGAACCAGCATGGTTGGCTCAGGAATTCTAAGCGTTGAAGTCTACAAATCATAAAGAGGCATACTTCCCCATGACTTACTTACTTGCTTATATTTCATATCTCCCTCAAAGAGAGATTCTGGGGGCAGACAGCACAATATTGGCATATAAAACAATTTATAAAATTAAAATGTAAAAATTAATTTACAGTTAAAATTTTAAAAAAATTAAAATTCCAAAAAGACAAGAAAATTTCCAAGAAGGCAATTTGATGGAGGAAGAGGGATAATTCTCATGATATCAGCCAGCTGTTACGGTCTGCTGGTGGCCTGTTGAGCTGGCAGCAGAGTCGGATAGCGAGGACCAACCCCCTACAACTACATTATCCTTTGGGTATCCCAGGAAAGGCCTTCTTTTCAAAAAAGTTTATCTGAAAATTACTCCTAATAAGATATTTTAAAGCATTAATTTTATTTATTTGTATCCTGCCTTTAATATTTTTACAAATAGTTAAGGGGACAAATACATCCACTTACTTCCTCCTATTTTCCATACAACAATCCTGTGAGGTAAGTTGACTGAGAAAGAGTAACTGGCCCAAGATAACTAGCTGGCTTTCATAGCCAAGGAAGGACTAGAACTCAAAAGTCTCCTGGATTCTAGTGAAGGGGACAATACACTTTATAATACACACACACACACACACACACACACACACACAAAATATTAATATACAGTATCTTAACATATAATACACTATATAATAAACAGGTGGCGCAGTGGTTAAATGCAGCACTGCAGGCTACTGCTAGATCAGCAGTTCAGCGGTTCAAATC